ATGTAGAGGTCTGGGCATTCCTCGCTGCACTGTCCAGCAAACACCACATTGTTAAGTCTGTGTTTTGGTGTTTTGTCTTTCGGGTGAACCAGTTTCTGTCTGAGTGTGTTGCTGGGTCTGAAATGCACCGGGATGTCATGCTTGGAGAAAACTCTCCTGAGTTTCTCTGATACACCGGCTACATAGGGGATGACAATGTTGTTGCGTATGTCCTTCTTATCCTCCCTCGCTGTTGGATAAATCTTCATGGAAACATAATATTGCCTTCCATTGCTATGCAGATGATATCCAAATCTATTTCCCCCTGAATTTGGATCTCCAGTCCCTTCTATTGCTTTTGTTAAACTGCCTGTGTGATGTTAAAGACTTGCTACTGCACAACTCTCTCACCCTTAATGAAAACAAAACAGAAATTAGCATTTTTGACAGTCACATCCCCGTGGAACAGCTATCGGATATCCTGGGATCCTATACCAGTCATCTTTCCTTTACTGTTAGAAACCTTGGAGTAGTGCTGGATAGTTCCCTCAAATTAGACAAGCAAGTGTCTGCAGTGGTGAAAACCAGCTTTTACCAACTACGCCAAATTTCCAAGGCAAACCCTATATACAACATAAAGACCTAGAAAAGCTCATTCATGCTCTTATTACTTCGAAATTGGACTATTGCAATTCTCTTTATCTAGGCCTTCAACTTCCTACATCCAACGCCTGCAACTAGTCCAAAATGCCACAGCATGTCTTTTAAGCGGCACCAGAAGACATGATCATATTACACTTTTAAATTTTAAAGTTATTTTAAATTTTTAAATAACTTGGCACCCAGCTACTTAATCAACCTCCTTGACCTATACACCCACAAGAGAGCACTTAGATCCTCTAATCAGTGGCTCTTAGTGCAACCAATGTCCCGATGGAAGACTAGAGGGGATCGTGCTTTTGCTTTTGCCGCACCTCCATCCATCCATCCATCCATTTTCTTCCGCTTATCTGCGGGCGGGTCACGAGGGGAAGCCGACCAACCAGAGAAGCCCAGACCTCCCTCTCCCCAGCCACCTCCTCCAAGGCGTTCCCAGGCCAGCCGAGAGATATAATCTATCCAGCGTGTCCTGGGTCTGCCTTGCCTCTACTCTGAGCCCCTCCCGAATGGCCGAACTTCTCACCCTATCTCTAAGGCAGAGGCCAGCCACCCTTCGGAGGAAGCTCATTTCTGCCGCTTGTATCCGCGATCTCGTTCTTTCGGTCACTACCCACAGCTCGTGACCATAGGTGAGGGTAGGGACGTAGATCGCTTTCATACTCAGCTCTCTTTTCGCCACAACAGACCGGTACAGCGTCCACATCACTGCAGCCGCTGCACCAATCCATCTGTCCGATCTCCCGCTCCCTTCTCCTGTCACTCGTGAACAAGACCCCGAGTTACTTAAACTCCTCCACTTGGGGCAGAAACTTGTCCCCGACCTGTAGTGGGCACTGTTGGGATAAAATTATTTGAAGTGCCTCAATTCTACAATTCTATGCTTTATATTAACAAAATGCGCATAGTAACCATATAGGGTAGTATTAAGTGGACACGGCCCTGAAAATAAATGGTAAATGGCCTGCATTTGTATAGCGCTTTTCTAGTCCATAGGACCCCAAAGCGCTTTACACTACATTCAGTCATCCACCCATTCACACACACATTCACACACTGGCGATAGCAAGCTACATTGTAGCCACAGCTGCCCTGGGGCGCACTGACAGAGGCGAGGCTGCCGGACACTGGCGCCACCGGGCCCTCTGACCACCACCAGTAGGCAAACATGGGGTTAGTATCTTGCCCAAGGATATTTGGCATGCAGCCAGGATGCAGCCTGGGATCGAACCACCGACCTTCTGATTAGTGGCTGACCTGCTCTGCCACCTGAGCTACAGCCACCCTAAGGCATTAGACTACGTGTCCTTGGGGGGTAGAATGCTGTAGACTCTCGCTCATGCTAGCCTGGGAGAAAGTAGATGACAGTGGACCATGTTCTAGTGGAAAGTTACTGAAAAACTGTTGTTTAGATATACTTTTAGGTTTGAATGAAACCAAGACGGCGCCAAACCAAGCCGTCTCCGCTTCCCCGAGTTCTATCTGTTGTTGGCTATTTTATTTTCCATATGTTTCCTGGATGTTACCACACTAATTGTTTATGATCGTCAAACACTGTTCGATCTCCGACCTCTGAAGCATCAATCAGCAAACCCGTACTGGAAACCGGGAAATTTCACCCTGTTTTCCCCAGACACGACTGCATGCGTACGCTGCTTGCCTTTTTTCCTCCCCGTTAAGAAACGCTCTAGACGACGGGGAAAGCGGAGCAGCGTCCGGACTCGCATCAAAGCCTACTTAAAATTACATGGAGTAATCAACCACCATGCCATTTCGGATATCTTTCAACCCCTATTTTCTTCTCATCACCAGCACACCATCAGACTATTCTGTCATCGATGGACCCGCCAGGTCGGACAACATGCTCACTCAGAGTTGCCGGCCGATCATCTACCTACTAGAAGCTGGATGCGGGCTCGTGGAGGTGGCGTGAACCATAGCAACTTACGCCTGCTGAGGCGTGCTCCGAACAACAATGAGATGACTACGATCCAGATGGCTGTGCTTAATACCAGATCGCTGGCGAACAAGTCCTTTGTCTTGAATGATTTTTTTCTCTCATCCGAGCGGGACTTCCTATTCCTGACAGAAACCTGGATTCGCCCCGGTGAGTCCGTCTCTCTATCGGAATTTCTTCCACTGGAATGTACCTTTTTTAGCACCCCTAGGACCTTGGGCAGAGGTGGAGGGCTAGTATTAAACCCCGATTCTTTTGTCCCCATCATAGAACAGAGAAAACCCGTCTCAGAGTGGTCAAAACATTTTATATCTCTTTTTATTCAATCATCTTCCGGAAGAGAGAGACCCATGCACAGCCCAAACGCCAGTTGCAGAATCTCTAACATTAGAATCTAAGAACGTCTCACATATAGGTGTTATTTTGGTACTTTACACGTCACACAGTTTCGATACAAACATTCCTTATATGGTACAAGTGCAAGTTCCTCTTTTTCAGCCACACCACTTTTTTTTTTCAGAGAGTCCTGTATTTCCCACAAAGTTATTTGTGGCTGTTTACTTGCATCCTGAACAATTTTTCTGTGGCTGAAATTTTAGTTGGTCTACCTAACCATGGTTTGGTTTCAACAGAACCCCTAATTTTCCACTTCTTAATCAGAGTTTGAACACTGCTGATTGGCCTTCTCAATTCCTTTGCTATCTTCTCTTATATCTTTCCTGTTTTATAGAGTTCAACTACCTTTTCCTGCAGACCCTTTGACAAATCTTTTGCTTTTCGCATGACTTAGAACCCCAAAACTATCAGTGAAAGACTGGATGAAAATGCAAGGGTCTATCAGGGGGCCAGAGTCCAGAAAGTCACTTTTTATACACACTCACTATTTACAAGCAAACAGATCACAGGTTAAGATGGTTACCTTTAATAGCCTTTCTAACCCTTTTGTGTGAAGTTGTGCCCAAGTTATCAGGGCCAATCACCAGGGTATGTAAACTTTTGATCGGGATCATTTGGGTAGTTTGTGTTGTGATTATGATTTAAAAGAATGTAAATGACAACAAATGTATTTGGGAGAAGTAGTAGCTCTTCTCTGTGCTCCTCTGTAACTTCTCACCTATCTCTAGGACACAGCCCAGCTGCCTTTTGGAGAAAACATGTTCCTGCTCTTTGTCAATGTGATCTCCGTCTTTCTGCCACTACCAGAGCTTGTGACCATAGGCGAGGGTAGGCACATCAATGACTAAATTGACTGCTTCGCTTTCATGCACAGCTCTCTCTTCACCACAAAAGACAAAAGAAGGAACAGCACCAACATCGCTTCAGACATGGTTGCACATGCTCCTGTTTTTGCAGGACTTAGCTAGCATTTGTAGTGGCTTTAACATTGTTGAATTTGGACACTTGGTGAATGGACTCCCATTCGATGGGAGAACGTAATACATCTGTTTGCAGAGGGAAAGTGTGATTTTTTTAAATGAATTTTTTGGGGGTGCATAACATTAGCTGGCAATGTTAGCTTGGATTTGACCTCTGAATTCAACCTTGTCATGCGATGACTTCAGAAGATCAGGGTTGAGGTAAGGCAGTATAGGATGAGATTTTATCCAGGTGCCAGTCATGCACCCTCTCTTCCTTGTGTTTTCACTTCTTTGATGAAGGAGATTTCTTCTCAGATGATAAAATATAGATATGATTCATATCTTGAATTTGAAGGTGTACACACAAATTCAAATTGGTTTCTAACGGTTCTATGATTTCTCCTCCAGCTTTATATATGAAAATGTGATCAGGCAGAATGTGCATCTCACATCTCTGGAGTACGGGTTGGCCAAGGGGAATGATTAGCTGAGTGGAAAAATATAAGTGACTGTTGAACTGGGAGTGGGGAGTGTAGATATATTTGTATCCTCAGTATCGCTCTGCGTGGGTTGGAAAGAGTGACACAACGCATGATGGGAGTGACACCTGATGATGTCCCTCATGAAAATGGCAAGTGTTTAAATCATGCTTGTTAAGCATGATGGTGTTATGGAGGTGAAAACTGTCTATATATAGCAAATGTCTATATTAGGCCCGGTGGTATGATGGAAACACTAATTCTGAAAAAAAAAAGGTTAGTCATTGGTCTGAGTCGAAGTCGAGGTATGTGACAGTTTACTTCGGCAATGACTTTAATTTTCCGATCAGCAGCAGGATCAAGAACAAGGAAGAGTTTGGCGAAAAGCTGAAATTTTATATTTGAAAATAATTAAGCAGTGTACTCCAGTCTGGATCAGTTTAATATGAGAAGTATACATCTTGCAGAAACCCAGCAGATAATCTGAGGCTTACTTTTATTAAACCATTTCAGATTCCAGGTGAAATATTGCAAGTTACTGACTTCGTTTCTGATGACAGCATAGGTGGTACATGAGGACAGGTCTGATGGTCTGATCTCTTAGCCCATAGACTAGAGAACTCAGGCATCTGGGTAAGATAATAAAGCACAAATAAAATACATTCTGAACCCATGAAAATATTGTCATTGTTACAGTTCTTGAAAGGGCAGCGAGCAAAGGGTTATAAATAGTAGAGGAGAGACTCAGGCACAGCTGCATCATATTCAGCAGTAGAGTGTTTCGAGCTTTACAAGCTAAAGCTTTGTTTGCAGAGGCCAACCTGGCAGCTAATATCACACCGATATAAGAAAAAACGACTGCCACACCAGCTGATACAAACACTAAACATGTGAAAGCGGTGTCATATTGATCAGACCTTGTCCCGAGTAACAGAGCTATTTTAGAACAACTGTCTTTCATCTGCAGGTTTTTCAACACTTCAAATGGGAAAAAAAAGATGAGTCGAGTGAGATTATTTAGTGAACTGATAATCCAAATCACAACGATAGCAGCCCCTGTGTTTCTGATGGTGATGATGGCAGGATACCTCAGTGGGTAGCACACAGCTACATATCTCTCCAGAGGCATCACCGAAAGGGTGAGAGGGGAGATCCCAGTGGTGAGATTGGCCAACAAGCTGAGACATACACATACAGGATACGGCAATTTTACTCTAAAAATAGAGAGCAGGAAAAGAACCTGACTCTGTGCCAGCTGCACAGTGTCTGCAAAAAGGAGGTTATACAGAAGAATGTAACGGGGAGTGTCACGAAACACCGGCTTACTCCTCAGTGTGAACAACATGGTCCCATTAAGGAAGAGAAAAATAAAAGATGGAACTGTTGACAGAGTGGAAACAATAATTACCCTCAGTAGGTCCTGATACTGCACTTCAATAGACATGTTAGTGTAAGACTCAGATACATTTGACATTGCAGAAAATTTATGACATGTAAAACATGAATCTGTTGAAGTCAATGTAGCACAGAATCCCAATAATTGCTGTATTCATAAAGGAGAAAAAAACATTAAAATGTCTCACAAAAGCCTGGTGGTTGATAAAGATCCCAGTCCCACAAAAAGATTTTACTGTTCCTTCTACTGGCAGTCATCAGGTCAGGATCTGTGTTTGCCCACTGTTGGCAGAGCTCTTCTACAGAGTTGGTCTGACATTGCATACAATTTATTAGTTCTGTCCTCGCAACCTTACAGTGTCATGTGACACTCAGTTGCAGTGTCACATGA